AAGTGGAAAATGAATTCACTTCTTCAGAGGGATGCTAGGGCACCTTCAGCTTACGGCCTTCCAAAAATACACAAGGAAGGAGTTCTTTTAAGATTAATTGTTAATAACAAGGGTTCTGTGATGCATAGGATCTCACGTTTCTCATGTAGACAAATAAGGAAATTGGCTGAGTATTGGAAATATTCAGAGAAGAATTCATATGAATTTGATAGATTAATAGATCAACAGAGTATTAAAGAGGAAGATCTTTTGGTTAATCCTGATGCGGTATCAATGTATACGAACATTCTAGTTCATAAAGCCATTGAAGCACTAATACTCAGCCTAGATGAACATCCAGAAATTATTAGGGAAGCAAATCTGAGTAAAAGCTCAATCTTAAGGCTTCTTAATCTATCCATGAGCAGCACATACTTTACCTTTAATGTAAAGGTTTATGAACAGGTGCAAGGTCTGGCAATGAAATATTGCGTGGCTCCCATTTTACCTAATAATTACATGTCAAGAATTGAGAAACACTTCATGGAAGGGGTAAGATTGACACCCAAACTGTTAGTTAAATATATGGATGACTACTTTGCCATATGGCAGCATGGCAAGGATAGTTTAGATAATTTCTTGTTATAAATTAACAAACTTGACTGCAATATTAAGTTGACAATGTAGATGGAGATCAACAATAATTTACCCTTTTTAGCTTTTCTACACACCAGGCTACTAACTCGTAAGAGAGACAAGTAAAGTCAATCCCTCGACAACCGTTCTGCCGAAAACGGTTACACTATCACTCCTCTTTCTGTCGTTGTCTATCTATCTGCTCTTTGCCCTCTTATCCCATTGCCGCTCTATCACAACTTCTCACTTGTTTACATTCCACAGGTCAAAATATGTGCCGTTTTGTGGAAAATCTAGTGTGGCCTCATCACAGTTGCTATTTACCCCGAACCCTCTCTTTCGATCGGCTGATCTGACTTGGCCCTCCAATCCGTATCCCTTCATTGTCTCGTAGATCCGTTCCTTATCTTCTGGTTGACCGATTTCACTCGGTTCCAGTCCCTGTGTGCATTTTACTCCAAGGCAGTATTTCTTAAATCCCTAGAAGCCCGTACACTACCGCTTCACTGAGCAGAGTGCTTAGTCTCTGATTGCCATGATTGCAGATATCAGACCTTCCCTTCACGGGTCCTCTCCTTCATTAAACCCATGTTATCTGAGCAAACTGTGGACGCCTATCTCTGGTCGCATGCGGAATCACAAATTGATTTCTAGTACATTTCTGTGACGGTTTGCTTATCCGTCTACATAGCTCCCCGACTGCCAGACCCCCAAAATAGTACTGTTTTATTTAATATGAACATCACTTAGTGACAACGTCTTCCCTTTATTGCCGAAAACCTCTGTATTCCACTTTCTTTATCGCGATCCATTTTCCTCTGGTTAGCGGTAGATCCTTGATCCAGGCGCCTCCTTTTTGCTGGTCTTGCTCCATTCTTGCTTTCCCCGAGTTTGCTTAGGCAGTAGACAAAGTTATTGCTAACTTTACCTTCCTCCAATCTCCTGTTCATTAGATTTGTCTCCCCAACGATGTCAATGGCCGCCCTAATCTTGCACTTCCTTGTGTTGTCACCATATGGAGCTCTTCTTTCTGTTGCCTTCCAATTGATCTTGTGTCCAGTCCACGCAATGTGTTACGCTAGTTCTGATCCTTCGGCATCCATTTTCCTGCAGAGCCTCTGATGTTCCTTGATGCGTGTGCTAATTTTTCTCCTTGTTTCGCCAATATATTTCTGATCGCAGGCGCCGCATTATATAGAGTAAACTCCTGAACAGTCCAATTTGTCTACTTTTTCATGTTGCGTTGGTAGACTTGTGAAAAGTGTTGATTTCTCTTTCAAGACCACCTGAATATTCCATCTACTTAATAATGACCGTAGTTTTTGAGTTAGCTCGCAGGAAGGTAGGCATATCCACTCTTTTGAATTCTTTATTGTCCGTACTGTTCTTTGATAGTCCCCGTTAGGCCTTCGGCTTTTCACGGCCCGTATGTTTCTTTATATCACGTTGCTTGGGTAGCCATTGCCGAGGAACATCCTAGTCAATTTGTATAGCTCCTCGTCCCAGAAATCTGCATCCGTTAGGCGTATGCTTCGGATGATCAGGCTCCTCATTATTATAATCTTCAGCCTGCAATTGTGATGGGACCGGAAATTGACTATTATCCCAGCATAGGATTTCTTTCTGAACAATTTCTTTTTCAGCGTTCTATTAGAACGAATCACTTCAACGTCCAGGAACGGTAACAGCTTACCCTCCTCTACTTCCACTGTGAACTGAATTTTTCTATCAATCTGGTTTACAAATTTTATAAACTCTTCTAGTTTTTCTCTTCCATATGACCAACGTGCGAAGTAATCATCCAGGTACCGCATGAGCACTGCCGGTTGTAGTGGGGCCCTCTTAAAGCTCTCTTCTATTTTGTTCATGTATATGTTGGCCAAAGGTGGTGAGAGCGGCGATCCCATGGGAAGTCCAAATATTTGTTTATAGAGGTTCCCGTTGAACGTAAAATAGGTTGCCCTTATTGTGAAGTCGATTAGTCTTGTTAACGACTCCCTACCGATCCGTTATCATTCGAAGATATCCTCTCGGTCCAGAATTTCTATCAGGGCCGTTCTCGCATTTTCTTCAGAGATATTTGTTTACATGGATTCCACATCGAAATTTACCAATAAGTCTGTTCCTTCCAGTGCCATGTTTTTGATTTTTTTAGGAAACGCATATGAATGTTTCACCGTGTTTGATAGCCTCTCATTTAATTTCTTGCGTTTTCTATTGGAATTCATAGCTGAACCGCCAGACAAAGCCTCTTTTTCTCCAAACTTAACTGCTTGCAAATGAACACAAGTTGTCCATATATAGTAAACAGAAATTTTAGTAGCTGAATGGTTCATTGTTAAAACCCAACGTTTTCAGATGAACTTACGCTAACTGTAATAATGAACGGTACCATTTAGTGCACTTTTCACCTATACTTCCTATCTAACTAGTATAAGATTAATTGTTATGTGTATTATCTACGTGTTGAGCTCGGAGTTTCTGAATCCACATACGATACTTACGAACATCGGTCGAACATCCCTTAGTCACAAGTCGCATCGATGCTTTTCCTTGAGTTGAAAGTCGCAAAATTCATGATTAATTATGAAGCCATTTCCTCGGCTCTAATTGCACTGCCCTATCTCCGACATGCACACACAAACACAAATACAGACAGGCTTAAAAAGAAAATGGCCTCGCATAAGAACTTGGTCATAAATATGAGATGTACCACCCTATTTTGTTCGAAGTGATGAAGAGCCGGCATTAAATTTTCCCACATGCTTCCATTGCATTTTACAAAATCTTGCTTCCCGAAAGGTATGCTCATTAAGGATAGAATATAGTTTCGATCTCACCTAGGTCTCCTAGGTCCTTAGTATCCCAAGTGGGACTCGAACCAGGGGAGTTCCGCCTATAATCTCGATACTCAAGTTCTTACTCCACACTGCCACGAGTGCTATTATGTCGCAGAGCATATGTGAATTTTAAAGGTCAGGCCATTATTACTTACTGTGGTAGGATTTTTGATTAAGCAAATACACACTTGCTTCATAGATAATCCCACCTCAGAAATGTGATTTCGGAAATACCTGGCTTCCTTGAAATTCGCATCTGCGCTGTGATCCAAGGGCACATATAACAGTGTGGCGAAGTGATTAACGTGTCGTGACTATACGCTGCACTATGACAATCCTGGCTCTGACCTGGCTGGTGGTGCTGATCAGACCTAGGTGAGGTCGAAACGTCAGTCCATTCCAGCCTGAATAAGGCTACCTTTTAGAAGGCAGTGGTATGGAAAATTCAATGAAAGCGTGAGGCCTACTCATATCATAGTGGCAAGATTAGTCTACTGGTCCATCATCACAAATCAAATCATTTCTTAAAAAATTTGGGTCATCCCAACCGTATTTCTATGTAGTCTTTCCTTTACTCTCGTCCGATTTTCTCGCCTTTTCGTAATTTGTCTAGTCAGTCATTCGCGTTTTTGCCAATTCACTATCCACACAGAAATTATCTTTATTTATCACTTTTGCTCTCGATTCGTTCCAAACGCTTGCCAACTAAAACTATTCATTCTTTTGACTTTTAGAATCTATTTAAGCCGGCTTGTTTACGGCTTGTTGGCCTTAAATCTGCTAATTCACGCGCTTTCCGACTTGGTTTCTCAGGAAACCATGTTAGGTGGCACGCCCCTTGATCGGTCCGGTTTGGAGAAGACTAGATCAGCGTGCACCGATCCTCTGAATCAAATGTCAGGTATGTAGCAAAATTTTGTTGTAACCATACGAAAGACACACAAAATAGGCTCAACACTTCATTCACTATTCACTATTAGGACAGCATTTTCAAGCAATGTATATTCTTAGAAGTTGTTTGATCTTGTTTTCGCAACTTGGTCATATTGGTAGGAAGACTTAGAGGAACGCACCTAGTCCGGAGTCCGTTTTATGCATGATCATTTCCAAAGTCAAACCGTGGACGTGGTACATTCCCAGACGTCTCGCCGGCATCGTAGTCAGCATCATCGATGGGTCTTGCCATTCTCAATACCACACTACAACTTGTCGAAGAGATTAATGAAGCCGATCATTTTGCAATTGTGTGCTAAATAGTTGTATCTCTCCTTCTGTCCTGGGCTATTCACATTTTCTATCACGTCTCCTATCACGCCTTCACTTTTACAATTTTTTCATGCTAATTTAAATATAGTGTGGTTTGCCCTTTTGAGCGGCTTTCATTAGAACTCTCCACACTCCACGCTGAAGTTCTCACCCCCCCCTTCACACTTGTGCTTGGAATGTGGATAATAGTCTGCCATATTGTTAAGCCTTTCTCCTGCCATAGTGCTTATCGGAGTCCCCCTCTTGCTTACTTTGATTAGGTTCAATGTTTTTTCACAACGTTCGTTGGTTGGCACACAAGAGACTAGGGTATAGCAAGTCATAGATTCGGTTTTACGGATAGAAACAGGTTAGACGCTAGTTGGCTGACAATAGGCCTGTTTCACCATATACGTGGTCCATAAAGCAAAGGCTTGACCATGACAATTACTCGGGGTCTTTAGCCTCAAGTTAGTCTGGCAGACGCAGAGTGTGGTAAATAACGCCTCGAGTAGCACAGATGGGGTGGCAGGGTTCTAGTGAAGTACATGGACCGGGGAGATAGTAGACGCATCCTACGCGGCAAGAGGGAGACTGTGATAAGACCTAGGGAAGGAGGGCTGCGTAACAATATGGTAGAATCTGATCGACATTCCCAGCACAAGAATGAAGGGGGGTGAGAACGCCAGTGTTGAGTGTGGAGGGTTTTCATGAATGCCGTTCAAAGGAGCACATTACACTACACCTAAATAATCACGGTAAAAATTGTAACAGTAAAAGTGTGATACGAGGATATAGGAAATGTGAATAGGCCAGGGCAGAAGGAGAGATACCAAAACAGTTTAGCACACATTTTCTCAAATAATCAGCTTCACTTGTCTCTTTGACGTGTTGTAGTTTGGTGCTAAGAATGGCAAAACTCACTAACGATGCCGACGAAACGTCTGGGGTTGTACCACGTCCACGGTCGACTTTTGAAACTATCATGCATACAATGTACTGCAGACAAGGTGGGTTTCTCTAAGTCTTCCTACTAATATGACAAAGTTGCGAAAACAAGGTCACACAACTTCTATACGACGAAAGGAGACTGCTACCACACAAAAGGTCACACCTTCTTGATCTTCATATCTTCAATACATATTCTTAATTAAATATATATCTGAATAAGTTCGCGCAAATTTTGGCGATAATGTCGTAAAGCGCCAGGAGAAACTCTCCTTTCATTCTTTTGGTTAAGTCGAGACACTGAGAGGTTGTGTATTATGTCCTGACGACAATAGGACTTTATTGCTAGAACATAGTGCAAGAAAGTTATCGGAATCAAAATTATTCAGAACAGGGAATACGTCTCCGAGCTGTACCACATGGGCACTGAATTCCATGCCTCGTATTCAAATCAGCTTTAAGCCCGAACGATTGGCAATGCAATCCGGCCTCCACTTGCTTATGTCTCAGGTGAATTTTTCCCAATCACTATAGGCTTGTCCAGAAACAGCCAACGGTTTTCTGAACATTAAGACTTGTATTGCAAAACGATTCTTCTAATCGTTTTTACAAATTGAGGTTAGGCGTCACTGAGATGTGCCCAAGGAGACAGTGTGATAGATCAATCACCCTCCAAGCTTAACTACAACTTCACATACAATAATTGGTACCAGGAGCCGATTTTATGACCCAAAAATAATAGGTAAACCTATTTAAGGGCTGTGTTCATACAATTACGTTTATGGTGGTTAAAGACTGTAAGTTAAATTTTCCTACAACCATATGGGTAGGCCTCATGTTTCCATTGACTTTCACATAGCCTTGCTTTCCAGAAGGTGGCCTCATCCAGGCTGGGATGGACTGATGTTTCGACCTCGCCTGGGTCTTATTAGCAACACCATTGGGACTCTAACTCGGATTTTCGTAGTGTAGTGTCTAGTCTTGACGCCATGAGCGTCCTTGGATTACAGGGCAGAAATGAATACCAAGGAAGCCAGGTATATCCGAAATCACATTTCTGAGTTGAAATTGTTGATGAAGCAAGTGTGTATTCGCTATTACAATCGAATATATTACTTATTTTACGTATTTTAGTAGGTCTTTGAGACTTCCAGTAGATTCGATGTAATACCTGTACTACCTTGGTTCGAGTCCCGTTGAGGGGGCTGTCGAGACTTTGATCTGGTCTCAATTATTCTTAGTTGGCTATCAAAAATTATCTACCGTTAAGCGAAATAGATGATGGCCATATACTCTTAGTTGAAAGTGCGCTTATTTGTGTATGTATCTGCACTCTGTCCCATTTGTTCAGCCGGCCTCATTTCCCGCCTGCCGCCATCGCAATTGGTGCGCTTGCTCGCCCTCCTCGTGGAGACGTACCAAGTCTGTGATACCTTTTCCAGACGGCCCAACCTCCGCCGCCTGCTACAGACTCACCTACACCTTGTCCGGCCAGCCAGTCTAG